AGGTATGGCTCGAGAAGCTATGGTGGGTAGGCGAGTAAACTTCGGCGTTTGCAGCCAATCAATCTATAGAAATTTGCTAGCGCCTAGCCTAACGGTGGAATTTTCTACAAAAGAAGTTCCTCTAAAGTTGACACATCCACCCCCTTGCCTTCTCACACCATATGTAAATAATAATAAAGAGTGACTTACTAAATTCGACAGGGGTTGAAGATGGAGATGATTACTTCAATGTTTGTAGAGATAGGGGTGTTTTTTCCTGTGTGTGTTCTTGTATTTGTGTAGACGATGATAGGAGGCAGAGTTTTGTAGGAGGAAGGACGGCATATAAAGTTAAGCGAAGAGGCGCAAAGCTCAGGCCATTTCACGTCACGCCACATAATCTCCCCTAACCCTGTAGGTCCTGCAAATGCGAATATGATACATGTAGGTCCGGTACTGAGGACCTATTCAACAAATTGCGGTCAAATAAAGTGACAATCACAATATCATTACAAGGGAAATTATAATGAATGTGAAACCGCGAGATTTTACAAAGTGGCCATGGGTTGACCCCAGATGTCACTGACATGCGTATTTTTATTTTGATTCAGGTACCGATCTCGGCGTGATGTACCTACTTTCAGGCACCGATTTCTTACTCATCTTTCTAGAGGCGTTATCGATAACGGTAATTTGAGCCTCCTTTCAATTCCGTTATGTAACCTACATGTGAGTACATACATTCACCTACATGTATGCACGACGCCAAATCTTGTCCCCTGCCACTGATGTAGGTACAGCCACTCTGCAAAAGCGTTCGTGATTCAGATTTTGGAGTGAGACATTTCTCTATGTAATCGTAGACTTTCCCTGTGGCTAATGGCACCCGGCCGCGGAATCAGTGGAGGGTAGGATCAGTGACCATAGATCTTCTTTATTTACGGTCGCGAGCTATTTTTCATTGTTTTGGTGACATTAAAACCAAATCACGAACACTTTTGCTGAGGCTGTACCTACATGTATCTCGTTGTTTCCTGGCGTTTTTGGACGGGCCACTATTGCATCCACCCAAAATCAGGATCTTGTGTATGGTATGCAATATCAGTCGCGTTCAAAAACGTCAGGAAGTTACGACCTCCCGGGCCACTCGGGCACCCCCTCACTCGGGCAGTCAATCATGATTGGTTTAAAAAGAGGTACTGAAGCTAGTTAAAACGTTGATCCATTCTTTCATACGCTAACTGTCCGAGCAGAGGGTCGTCTACTGTCATACTGTCACTACTAGATCAACTCCGTTATATAGATATACTCTAGTTCTTGGACGTAAATCGCCGTCCTCGCGCCACCAAAACACACCAAAATCAGCCAAAATAGGCAATCTCCTTAAGGTTCAAATCTTTATCATTACCACCGAATTTTCAGCATAGAAAGATACACTATAAAATAGCAAACACCTCAAGACATAGGTCTGTTCAACAGGTTATTTGGCTTCGAATCTACAAATTCTCAGCTAGATTTAGTCGATCTTAGCACATTTTCTGAAAACAAGCGAACAAAATTCCCTACCATCAGTTTTACAGTGTCTACAATGAATATCTTTGAAATTTAAGACTGCCAATTGATTCTCCTAATGATTAACTTGTATTTAACCAACTGATATAGGTTATATCCTAGGTTGGAAGTTTATAAACTCTATCCGTATCTGATCAAGTTCTATATCTTCTGCGTTGATTTATTATGTATCTACAGTATACACCTACATACCACCACCCACTAGATCCATTAAGACTCCTTCCCGCCCAACCCCAACAAACTCAGGCTCAACCTATTTAACAGCTGCTCTCTGCAACAGTAACACTCACTGCGACACAACCTTCTGCCTCCAAAGTGCTCGCACCATCCCAGTACAACTGCCAAGTTCCCTGGACCTTGCTCTCATCGACCTTGCAGGCCTTCCAGTTTCCACTGGCTCCGTTCACCGCGAAAAGTCCGCCTTCTTGAGTGATTCCGGTGGTGACAGCACCGGCGGGAACAGCCGCGGAATGTGGGACTGTAAACCCAATGGGCTTTGACTCGGTAGGATAGACATAAAGACGCTGGCTACCAGTGGGGGAGCTGTGAAAGGACTGGAAGGATGCACCGTCGCCGCCGGAGGTCACTATGAGATGTTAGTTTATTTAGGGCTAGGATAGAGTGAATGAGGAGGCTTACAGTCAAGAGACTCCGAATAAGTAGAGTACTTGATGTTTCCGATGTATGCGGAGCCTTTATTAGTTGTTAGCTGGTTATTCTGGCAACTAGATTAGCCATGAGGTTACTTACTGTTGGCGTACATGAGGGTGGGGTAAATGAGCCCGTCCAATCCCGTAGAGGTGGAAGTAAGGGTAAACTTGGCCGGGAGAGCGTCGCGCTTCTCGATGGCAGCTCCAGAGACCATAGTGGTAAGGGCTGCAGCAAGAACGATGGTCATGGTGAACTTCATCTTAAATGATTAGATTGCTAGAAAGTAAAGTAAAGCGAGTGAATTTGTTTTTGATGTGATGAGAATGAACCGATTGATGGTGGTGAAGTATGCTTATGATGGGAGCTTCGTGGAGTTTATATAGAAGTTGGCAAATATACAATGGAAAGTTATCCGATTTAGATATTGGACATCGTCATTATTGAGCTCGTATCTCTGAGATTCCTAGCTTCATTCATCCGGAAACCTCGGATGAGAATAATCTAGCTTGCCTACACCCAGGATGGGACCTGAGGTATGTCCGGATCAATTGACTAAACTGAGCTCTATCAGCCAGGATAAAAATAATCCTTTGTTCAAACAACCAGGGCATGTACTCAGCTTGGTGCACCACTTATTAATTGTACCATACGGCCCAAACCGTGCAAGTCATCGAGTATCCAATAGAGTAAGAATATCTCCGGCCCTATCCGATCAATGTCAGCTAGTTACATGTATAAGGTTCAGGCTCAACGTATCCCCTGGATGTATGAGACAGTGGGAAAATCTCTCTCATGCATTAGCGTGGCCTATCCAGGAAATGATTGACTGAGGTAAGGCAGCGAACTGCGAACTTTATGGCACCGTTAAGTATTCCAAAGACCGACGATGCTTTCTCACCCAAATTCAAGGTCACATGACATTCATGCATGAGAGAGATTTGCCCACTGTCTCATACATCCAGGGGATACATAGCTCGAGAAGCTATGGTGGTGGGTGTGTAAACTTCCTCTGAAGTTGACACACCCAACCCCCTATGCCTTCTCACACCATACCTTCCCGGCCCTCCACAAATTATACAAAGTTACCATACCCTGATTCTTCCCAACCTGACGTAGCAAAAATATTCCATAGCAAGGGACCGTGCATCCTGCAACCAAGTTTAGAAACACCACTAATCTACTACGGATGTGGGGACAGCCGATGTCGATCAATTGGTCGAAACCCTTCCAGAACCAGCCATTTCTCGGATTTCGGCTCTCGAGTGGCGGATTGAGTTCAGCCAAAGTTGAATCGATCGGATGCTTATTCTTGCCCTTCGCTCGCTAAATGTGTGGTATGTACTCTATGCATTTCCGAGCAGTGGCGGTGGTACAGAGGAGCAGCTGCCAACCAGTAAAGATGACAACGTCAGGTCGTCTACTGAACACCTACGGGAAGAACTCGTGATCAGTATTAGGTTACACAGCACTGGCAATACTGGATACTGGAGGAATATCGGACTCAATTGGCCATCTAGTATGCTCGCTCCGAGAGAGCCGGGTTTAATGTAAGAGTTGTGAGTGTGTAATTAGGAATAGCTCCGGAACCTCGCGGGCATATATCGGGAACTGTCAAAGTTGGATTGACAGGTCAGCTCGCGACCGCTGACGAGATTTCTGGCCTTGCATACTGCCGCAACAAAAATAATGTATCATCTCATATTCAAGGATATCTAATTGCTATCTTACAGGTTCTATCGAAATCACTACCATGGCTTTCTAATGGTGAACGAGATTCTCCCCCCCTATACCCTGGGCTGCTATAGGTACTTTTTTTTCTTTTTTTGTTTAATTGCTATAGGTACTTGATATATAAGGGGGCCTCCGAAAGGAAGGGAAGCTAATGGATTTAAGGGGATTCTATGTAGTTTTGGGTTTTTATTAAAATAGATAGGCCTCTGCAGATCTGAGAGATATAAAGATTTAGTGTTCCAAATTGATCATCATATCTGAACACTTCATGAAGGATTCATTGATATCTCAACTAGGTCGACGATTAAGGATGGCCCCAAGCTGGTTTGATGTCTTTATAACGGCTAGAACGGATTTCTGGACTCTGTATACCTGAAATTCTGTTCTGGCGAAAATACTGTTCCCGGAAAATTTCTTGTGTTTGGTGACCCATCTTTCGGGTTAGAAAACAATGCCAAATATTCATGAAAACGCAGTTTTCAAATAAGCAGCCCGGACCACCACAACCGACGTCCTATATAGTCTCGCTGTGCAGGAACACCATCAGCACCAAAGTTTCAACCAACCTGCCTTAAAATCTATCCATTGCCTGCCCCCCGGGGCCCTACCAATAGAGGTTAAAGAAAATGGGGTTTCTACAGTCTCGGCCCCCAGGCGGCGCGGACCCTAAGGCATTAATCAGGTACGTTTCCTAGGATAGTATACCGAACCGGCCATGTGATTAGCGGTACCTCGGTTCAACGCTTGAAGAACTCTTCCGACAGTTTATGATGTAAGGTAGCTTAATGTATTTGGCGAGATCAAGATCGCCCAGCTGTATCATAGAACATCACTCGACATTTCTAGTTTGACTTTCTAGTTCCCTCCCCCCCTCCCCCACCCTTTGCTGAATCCGTTGATTTTTATAACTCCCTTGAGTGCTACTATGAGTTGTCGCACTCCGAGGTCTGTATCACAGTTCTTAACTTGCAATATTGGCTCAATCCTATTCTATTCTATTCACGGGTTTCAATCCTAAAATTCCGTATCCTAATGTTGATGAGCTGGCAAAGTATCCACGTGATTATGGCAGTGTGGTGGAGAGGTTAACACGTCAGCCTGCTATACAGTTGAGCTGATGCCTTCGGGTTCGCGAGTTCGAATCTCGTCGCTGTCGTCATTTTTGCTCCCTTGGTGGTCAGGAGAGTTCTGGAAAGCCCCCTCCACCCCGCCTCTAATGAACGCAGGCCCCATTCTTAATCTACTGTATGTACAACAAATTCTGATCATCCTTTATCCACAACATATATTCGATCGCAAGCATGATTATCACTGCGGTCGCAAGGGAACTGATAGAATTAGAAGTACATAAATGTATATAATTCGAGTGATCATACATGACCTAGGCCATAGGTATGATACAACATACATACAAGTACTTGTTATATTACATGTATGTAATGTTCCTTATCCAGTATCTCCTGAACGCATGGCCGCCGATAGACGCATGATGAGCTACGTGTACGTACCACGATTCTCAGCCCGGTGTATCCAAATACTTCCAAGTACTCTTCTAGATCTCGAGCTCCCATATGACCATACAAAGAACTCAACGGATGGAGGATGGCTTTATCAAGCAAACCCAGGAATTACATAAGCTTATATTCTTTCAAGATACAGAGAGATTGTTCGCCAGTTGATAGCTCGTATCTCTTGATCCCTCCCTGCATAAGCTAAATACATGTGCATGTAGTTTCTTCTACTCGACTTGTTTACGCATTTTAGACGCACAACGTACATACATGTATATACATCCCCTTCATTGGTGAAACGAAACATCTGCCATACGTGCATGTACCCGATGTATATGCTATATGCGACTACGGCCACTCAACCTCTGTGTTGCTTGCCATCTGAGATTTACTACGTAAAAACCCGCGGACTATGCCGGGTTTACGGACAATATTCCTTCTTTGTGGGTTGGAAGCCGTGTTAATATATCGATACGGAAGAAGGTTATGGTATCCTGTGCCGGACCCTGGGCGCGGACCACAGGTGGTGGAGGCACGCGACCTTCCCCAAATGATGCGCCTCCGAGACCTTGCCGGCTGTCAAACCATTGGGGCGTTGGTGGCTTCCATGCGAGGTGTTCAGCTCATATTCTCCACCTAGACCATTCATCGTGAGATCTTCTGTTGGAGGAAATGGGAAGAATTGTACTAATTTTACTTGTATCTACCTAGCTTTAGGGGTTCTTTCTTTCCTTCATGATGAATTCTCGCCAAAATATCAAGTCAGCTTCGGAGGTTTCTGCAATTGACCCCTTAGAACACAATCCCGAATCGAAGCGAAAGGTCTTCTCCCCCAATACAACTCCGGATACGAGCCATGGCCATGGGCACCCCAAACAGTCATTCCAAGCGACAAACTTGTGAAGTCAAAACCAGCTACAGCGATTCACAGGCATTTGGCGAATATACCCATTTGGCGAATTTGTATGTAGTAACTAGCTAGTAACTAGTTAAACTGCGAGTGCGAGTTTGACTTGGATATCCTGATTCTTATTGACCGTAATCCCTGCTCGTCAAATGGGTGTATTCACCAAATGCTTGTGAATCGCTGTACAGCAATACGGTACAGTGCGATGACCGTGCTGAAAGGGAAGTCTCCTTATTACATGTAGCTAGCTAGCTAATGTCAAGAATAAACAGCCACCCGCACAACCGTGCAACCGACCTACCGTTAATTTTGGGTTGCCTTCTAGCCATGAGCTGAGCCCAGCTTGAGATCAGTTGGGAGCAGTATATTAGCTCGTCATAACAATTGCACTTGCAATTACCTAAGCTTGCACTTCTATTTTTATCTCACGTATTCGCTCAGTCGGGAGATCATCTCAGCTCGATCTCGGCTGAATCTGGTTCCGGATGGTGCAGAGTGGCGCGAATTAGACTACTTTCTAGCTGCTTTTAGAATAGAGAGGATGGAGTACAGTTGCCCGCCGCTATAACGAACGTGCATATTGAGCAACTTTCCGCTCGGTATAGCAGATTATTCGGTATAGCAGACCAAACTCTTTGCTGGGGGGAAAAGAAAAGCCAGCTAAGTGGATCGATACAGCAAATGTTCGGTATAGGAGCGCTCGTTACAACGGCGGGCGACTGTACCGCAAATACTCGATAAATTTGCTAGCGCCGTTTGCACCAAAAAGCACCAAAGTGCTGTGATAAAGGGCAATAACGCTAGCGAATTTATCGAGTATTTGCGGTACAGGCTTTACACACCTTTGGGGCTCTCCAACACGGCTTAATGTGCCGTTACCGCGGCACTTTTTTTCTAGAACATATGGGTACATACATGATACATGCATGGGATTCTATCTTGGTCTAATGCCTGCTGTTGTCTTGGCTAACGCAATGTGTACCGGCCACTAGCCCTTCAACTTCAACTTGGAAGTAGGTACTTAGCTCGGCTACCTAAAGAGGTACGTAGGGATAGGGATGTATCTACGAAGTTTGTGTCTACTGGCCTTCCCCGAGCTAATCTTCCGGTATTCCGCCCGGCCCCCACATTGACCTGGAATAATGCTTGTTCTGTTGTATTTTCCGATTGGAGTGGTAGGTTGGGGAATTAACCTTGGTGAATCCGATCGTTGGTAGAGTAATAACGCACGTCTTGGAGGGAAGATGGTAGGCGGAGTGGGAGTATGGACATACTCGGGTACGGGGTATGTATCGGAACATGAAATAGGGCTATTGCATGGTAGAGCGGCGCCTCTTTCTGTATACGTAGCTACCAGCTGCAGCTTTCATGGCTACATACATGTAGGTACATGTAGCTACACCTTAAGCTTTGAACGCACAAACACTGGTTCGATCTGTGTTCTATGTATAATAAGTACTCTAGATGGATGTACTGTGGCGATTTTATTATTAGATCAAGATGCCACTTGCCACTATAGCTGCCATAGCTCGAGGAATGTAGGTACATACATACATACATACATGTAGCTGGCAGTATAGTACCAGGCACATACCTCCACTTAAGGAAGCTCGTATCGCCAAGTGTAGGAAGGGTCACTCGACCAGATCTTAATACGAGCTGGCCAACTAACCCGAAGAGTGTATGTATGACCGATTACATGTAGTATGTATGTATGTATGTATGTACATGTATCTATTCATCTATTCAAGTTATGTACCCTCGAGTACTGCTCCCTGGCTCACTAAACGTCACTGAGCGGTAGCTACATGTACATGTAGTACCAGGCTTCCGTATTTGGCTCATTAAATCTGGGTGTGCTGATCCATGGTGCGAGGGACTGTGCATACGATGCGATGTTATTATCATATCCAACATCAATATACCATTAGCTATGAGGAGGACATGTACCATACAGAAGTCTTTATATACAGCCCTTCCCACCGTCCTTCTTCTCTCCTCACCAACAGCTTCCTCACCTTCGCTCTACATCAATCCTCAATACCTTCACTTGCTTTACCAACACATACTTTCGTTCAATCCACGATACCAATAATCAAAATGCAGTACACTCTTCTCAGCACTCTCCTCATCGCCGCTACCGCTGCCGCGCAGACCACCTACCGTGTCGTCGCCGAGCCTAGCTCAAACCTCAACACCAACTTCTACCAGTTCTCTTGGGTCAACCAGGGGACTAGCTCTCTCTATGCCGGTGATGCAAAGTTCAACCAGGCCGCTGAGCAGTACATCGGTGAGTAATATCTTCAGATTCCCATTCAATCTATAGACAGAGTGCGATACTAACAGTATTGCAGTGAATGTCTCTGATGATGGTTACTTGAGCTTCCTCTCGTGGCACACGGAGCGTTACCAGCTCTTCTATGTCAATGGGCAAGCCACTGGGCCCGTCAAGGTCGATATGTGGCAGGGGATCCCGCAGAATGCGACCCAGAAGGGATTTACCATCGATGATGGCTACCTTGGGTGAGTTTTTATGCCAACATTCTGTTTGTGTTCTTTAAACAATGCTAATAGTATAATAGCGTTGCGGGTGATGGCAGCAAGTGGTCTTTGTGCCCTACCGAGACTGGTGGAAGGACCTACCAGTTGTGGTATGTCGATGGCGATGCGGCATCAACTGATTGTGTGAGCACCAAGCTTAAGATGCAGGCTTACGGACTCTGCACTTCGGCTTAAGCTTGGACAGCAGGTTGCAATATGAGATGGAAGAGTGATGGCCGGGAGAATGGTGGGAAGGTTTGATAGAAGGAAGGGGTGTGATATATAAAAGGCGGTCAAAATTTATTGAGACTAAGCTGATGTCTGTCATTTAATTTTTGTTTTTTTTCGATAGCTAGATTAGTTTACAATAGAGGGCATCATCGCTCTGCCATATAATTCTTAAATTGGTGTTAGGGCTGCGAGTGATGGGTGGTGAAGAAGTCGCCAAGAAACATATTTTCTTCGGGAATTAAATTTAAAGGCAATGACACTCGTGTCTCTAGATTAATGAATAAGAGGCTCCAGTGAAGGTGAGACCTGCACAAGCTTGTAAGATGCAGAAAGAAGATCGGTACTGTATTTATCTTATCCAGATACTACTATACGTACTGCAGCGCGCGTACCCATATACCGACATGTATACCTATTAGTCTGTACCCTACCCATTCACACAATATATATCCTGTACTCGCAGTAGGTCTGAAATACCTGAAAATCCAACAGCAAGGTTTTGGTTACCAGTCGTGAGTACTACATACATGACTGGATCCTTTAAATTTAGATTACCGAACTCGGCAGTTTGCTGGGAACGTTAATGAGTTACATGTACATACATACACGGTTGATTCATCGCATAATTCAGTCAGATCACAGCTGACCACCATTGCATACCATATAAATACGCGCCAAGTCCACAATTTAGTATGGTATGCAATAGCGGTTCCTTTTATAAACGTTAGGAAAATATGAGTACTCTAATTGTCAAGTAGTTTTTGGTTGTACATGGTCTCACGTAACACATTAATGCTCCAAACTTTCGCCGGTCAACATTTTTTCTTTTTTCGGTAAAGTCGTTTCCGAGCTCGGATTTACGTGGTTAATGGCAAATTGGACGACTTTGCAGACGACTCTATATCTACTTGCAGCATTCGCGGCTTTACATACTGTATCACCCCCGATTATATCCCGCGCTTGGAA